GCTTTTTGTTTGTCTTTCAAGACAGAGTGTCTCTCTGTAACCTTGGGTGGTCTGGAACTCATTTTGTAGACTAGGCTGGCTTTGAACTCAGTGATCTGTCCCCCTAGCACTGGGATTAAAGGAACCCGGCACTACCACCCCAAATCTATAAAATCTAGTTTATAGAGTTTAACTGGCATTGCTATTTTTGATTCTAGAGTCAGGCAACACTTCATGATAACATAAAACAAGTATGCCAATGAGCTGGGCAGAGGAGTTGACTTTAAAAAGGGGCCGAGGAAGCAGAAGAAACAGAACTGAACATGTCAGCTACTTTCCATGTAATGTAGAGAAGAAAAGGTCCCCAGGGGCCAGCGAGATGATGCAGCTGGTAAAAAATTCCTGACCTGAGCTTTGAGTCTCTAGAACCCACATACAGTAGGAGAGGGTGGACTCCACAGTCATGAAGTAGTGAACATTGTATGGCTGGAGTCACCACAAGATGAGGAACAGTATTAAAGTCATCACAGCATTAGGAAGGTGGAGAACCACGACTCTGTGCTTCTGGGAATTGAATCTGGATTCTCTGCAAGAGCAGCCATTGCTCTTAGCGGGTATCTACCTCTCCAGCCCTTTAACTGCTGTTTTTACATGTGTATTCCTAGGATAATGCCTTGTGAGCTGAGGTCCTAGGGATGCAGAACCTACATTAAAGAGTCTGGCAGTGTCTGGCCTTGGCTGAGAACCTGTTGAATTGGAGATGGAAAGCTGTATAGGTCAGAGCCACACTGACCTTGGGCTACCTTTAGCTCCTTCTAACAGGTATTTACTATCCACCTCAAGATCTGCCCTAACAGCCTCCTAATTAAAAATAAAACTCTTAGAATCTATAGCTCATCTTGACTGCCTAGCCTTCCTGCCCTCAGGCTCAGAATTTGACCAAAACATCCAAGGCCAGAGATTCTACCTCCCAACCCCCTCACACCTTACTCTCCACCCATGTATTTTTGTAAACACATTTTTTTTTTTTTTTTTTTTTTTTTGCTTTTCTTCTCAGTGACTGTCAAAGTTCCTGTAACCTTAACCTTATCTGGGCATGGTAGAGCCAGGTTGTAATCCCATTGTCATGGAGGTCACCAATGAGTTGAGAGTCCAGCTTTGGCTTCATATAGAGACCTTGCTTCAAATACCTAATCAATTAATAAATGAATGCTTTCTCTGTGGTAGAATGTCATTTAGGATAGCTTGGTTCTTGTGTTTGGGCTGTTATTGCTCTGCTCTTTTTTTTCCTTTTTTCATTTTCTTTTTTTTTTTTCACTGTTAGAGAGTGAACTCAGAACCTGACACATGCAGGGGAAGAAATCTACACTGACTTATATCTTCAGTCTTTTATTTTTTTCTTCCTTTCAATCTCCTGTAACTTGGACTTGATCTTGAACAGTAGATTGTCCTGCCTCTGCCTTTCACATCATGCATGGGTCACGAAACTTAAGCGTTTTTATCCAGGGCTTTTTGCATGCTAGCCAAGCATCTACATTCTGACCCCCCTTTGACACAAAGTTTCACTAACCCCTGTATTCTGTCTTATACTTGAACCTACTGTGTGGCTCAGGTAGTCAAGATGGCTCATCAAGTAAAAGCACTTGTCAGTAGTGACTTGAGTTGTGAAAGGAGAGAATCAACTCCTTTAAGTCGTCCCCTGATCTCAATCAATGAGCATGACATGAATATTCCTGCATATGTGTAAATAGATAAATATATTTTAATGAACTAATGATCCTGTCCTGGCCTCTAGAGTGTTAGGATTATAGATGTAGTTGCCACATCCAGTTAATTATTTTTTAAGAATAAATTACTAACAGGATAGTGACACATACCTTTAGTCCCAGCACTCTGGAGGCAGAGGCAGAGGGATCTCTGAGTTCAAGGCCAGTCTGCTCTACAGACAGAGTTCCAGGACAGCTAGGGCTACATAGAGGAACTCTGTTTCAAAAACCAAACCAAACCAAAAGAATACATTACTAGCTGATTGTGGTGAACCATGTTTTTAATCCAGAACTTGAAAGCCAGAGGCAGGCATATGTCTTGAGTTCAAGTCGACACAGTGAGTTCTAGGACAGCCAGGACTTTACAGTGAGATCCTATCTCAATCAATCAATCACAACATTTTCTGAATTTATTTTAAACATTTTATTAATGTTAGTATGTGCATGCCCTTGGTACACATGAAGGTCAGAGGATAGCTCATGGGAGTCAGTTCTTTCCTTCCACTATGGGGACTGAATTTAGGTTGTCAGACTGAGTGACAAGCACCTTTACCTGCTGAGCCATCTCTGTTAAGGCCCCTGTTTTACTTATGTAATTTATTTATTGAAACAGGGCTTCATGTAGTCCAGGCTGGCCCCAAACTCACTATGTGGCTAAGTCTCAGCCTAGACCTGATCCTTCCAGCTCCATATCCAAAGTGCTGAGGTTACAAGTGTGCATAACTAGAAGTGGCCTCTCAGCTACACTGCAGGCATTATTTGAATAATAGCTTAGTCATGAATGGAGTGTGAGTGGTCGAGGGACAGATTCAGTGAGACTTTCAGTGGGGTTGAGGGTAAGTTGGGAAAGTCACTCAGGAACCTTAAATTTTTCCCAGACTGCTTTCCACAGACCAGGCTGGCCTCAAGCTCAGAATTCCACCTGCCTCTGCCTCCCAAGAGCTGGGATTAAAGGTTTGTGCCATCACCTCCCATTCTCCGCCCCCTCCCCTTTTTTTGAACAGGCTTTCACCTTGTAACTCTGGCCTGAAACTCTCCATGTGGACCAGGTTGGTCTCTTTCTCAGAGATCCACCTGCCTGCTTTCAGAGGGCTGGGATTAAAGGCATGCTCCATTACAAACAACTGACTCGTTTGACTATTTTTTATTGAATGGTCTAAAGAGGTGGAAAACCCTTTTCCCTTAAAAAACAAATGTCTACAGCACTCAGGAGGCAGATGCAGGCTGATCTCTGTGAGTTTGATACCAGCCTGGTCTACATGGTGAGTTCCATGACACCTAGAGCTACATAGAGACCCTGTCTCAATAAATAATAGTCTCATACATACATAGAAAATAAAAATGATAAATACAAATCTCTATAACATTCCTAAATTTCTTTCTCTCTTCCTTTCTCTCTTTCTTTCTCTCTCTCTCTTTCTTTCTTTCTTTCTTTCTTTCTTTCTTTCTTTCTTTCTTTCTTTCTTTCTTCTTCTCTTCCTTTTCCTCCTCCTTCTCCTTCTTTTTTGAGACAGGGTTTCTCTGTATAGCCCTGGATGTCCTGGAACTCACTCTGCAGACCAGGCTGGCCTTGAACTCAGAAATCTTCCTGCCTCTGCCTCCCAAGTGCTGGGATTAAAGTGTACCACTACTGCCCAGCTTCCTAACCCTTTCAAATCCACATTTTCCTTTTCTTATTAGACTGGTGGAGAGAATTTCCAGACCATTTTCTTTCCCTTTGTAATTCAGGCACACATATCTATGCAAGCTGTGGATTGAACTCAGGACCTGGATATGTTGGACACACAGTCTATCACCAAGCAGGACCATGGCTCATTTCTTTTTTGCTAGATGTGGTAGTATGCCTGTAATCTCAGCACCCGGGGATATTGAGACAAAGGTTTGGTGTTGTAGCTCAGTAGCAGAGAATCTGTTTACCACCCAGAAGGCCCTAGGCTGGATCTCAGAGCACTGAAAGAAAGCAAGCTTTCAGTTAAGAGTGGTTGAACCCCTAGGAAGCTGGGGCAGAAAAACGAAAAGTTCAAGACCAGAGTAGGTTACAAAGTAAATCTGTCTTAAAAAAAAAAAAAAAAAAGACATCGGATTCGGTCTAGTTACATGGCTCAGTGGCAGTGAACTTGCCCAGCATGTGCAAGGCCCTAGTATAACCGCAGCACTCCTAACAACAAGGAAATCAAGGCTGCACAGCTAAAATCCCAGCTCTCGGGAGGCAGAAGCAGTAGGATTGGAAACGCAAGGCTAGCTTTTGCTACACAGCTATTTCAAGGCCAGCCTCGGTTATGACACTGTCTGGGAAAACAAAACAAAACACCAAATGAAGTTGCTTCTAGTGACCTGACCCACTGCTGCTAAGATAGCTTCTTTTGAGGTTCACACGCCTCTTTTCTATCCCAGAACTGTATTAAGAGGGAATTCCAACCTCCAAGTACAGAGGAACTACCGGGTGGTTTACAGGGAGGATGCAGAATCCTCAACAGTTGCTCTTCAAAGGTCTCTCCAATTCCATTCCTGTCCAAAAATGTCCTGTCCTTCCCCGCATGCAGCCTACTACAGCACTCTCCAACTCGCCATTGGTGCTGCAGCGGAATGCTGGCAAATTTTTTGTTTTGCTTCGTTTTAAACGGCCTCATACTGTGCAGCCCAGCCTGGCCACGAACCAGGGCTGGGACTAGAGTTATACATAAGCACTCCCGGACGGCACTTTTCTTAAAAATGCAACCAAAAAACCTATCTGTAAGCTTGCGTAGAGACAGTGAGACCATGCGTGCTCCCGTCGCTGACGTCCCGCACGTTCCGGAGATTAGGGTACTGTGTTGGTCAACAGCGAGCAGGAGGGGCAGGTTCCACACCCAACGCAAGACGCCCAAGAACCTGGCTGCACGTCCTCACGCCCCGCCTACCTCAGAGCCCGCCCACGTCTGCCCACCTCAGCCTGGATTCAAGACCCGCCCCTCGGCCTCTGCAATGCGCACACCTCGGCGTCCCAGGGCTCCGATATTGGGCCCCGCCCCGAGTCTCTCCCCTACCCGCCTAGGTCCCAGCCACTCCAGCCTCAGGCACATCCCCCGATCCTCCTCTGCACAAGATCTTAAAAACAGCGGTCCTCCCGCGCACTCCTGCCTCAGGCCCCGCCCCTGCCCCGCGCACGCGCCGCACGTGCCACACGCGCCCCTCGTTCCGCCTCCACCTGTAGGCCCCGCCCCGTAGCCAATGGGCTCCGCCGCCGCGTGCGTCCCGCCCCGCCCCGCCCCTTGTCCCTCAGTCCCGTGTCGCTTGGCCTCAGAGCTGAGCGGTGCAGGGTTCCCTGCTACCTCTCAGTGACCGCCTCCCAGGCCTGTCGCAGTTGGTCTCGGGCTCCTTTGCCGAGCCACCATGTCGCAGAGCGGGGAGGAGAACCTGCAGGGTGAGGCTGTGGGCGAGAGGGGCCGCGAAGGCGGCAGGGTCGCGGGCTGGGGTGCGGCGACTGGAGGCCGCGATGCAGTTCATTGCGGCCGGGGCTGGTCGGTGAGCTTCGGTGCATCTCACAGTACCTTAACAGGGAGGCCGGGCCTTTTTTTTCGTGCTCTGTGGTTCACACTGTCATAGTTCTGTATTTTCACAGCCTCTGTAGGTCAGGGAAACCTCGAACTCTGCGATCCTCCTTCCCCAACTTCTCGTGTAGCTCAGATTTCAGGCCTTTGGCTTCCCCAACGCCTTGTTCAGCGTTGTTTAAGTGAGCTAGAGGTTGCAGGTTGAATTTTCAGTGCTTTGATTGAAGTCATTAGTATTTATGACTGTAGTGCCTCACACTTTTCGGACTTGGTACTGGGAACGGAACTAGGTCTGAACGTGCTGGGTAAGTGCTCATTCCCTGAGCAACACTACCTTTTTTTTTTTTTTTTTTTCATTTTATGCTTTAAGATATACTGGATTTAAACTTAGGATCCTTCTGGTTCAGCCTCCAGGGTAGCTGGAATTAACAGACTTTGCCACCGCCTCTCCCCACTCTCTACCCCACCCCTGTCCCCAAGTCTTTACTCCTGGCTTCCTTTGTCACCACTTCGTGATGGAAGAGGAGGATACAGGGCTTCAGATCTCTGTCAAGTCTTAGAGTTAAAAGATGGGATAGCCGCGCGGTGGTGGCACAAGCCTTTAATCCTAGCAATCAGGAGGCAGAGGCAGGTGGATCTCTGTAAATTCGAGGCCAGTCGGGTCTACAGAGTGAATTTCAGGACAGCCAAGCCTACAAAGAGAAAAACAGAGAGGGGATAGGCTAGTGGTGCAGCTCAGTGGAAGAGAGCTACAGCAGCTCAGAAGGAGGGGAAAGTGCTTACAATTTAGTTCAGTAGGCGCACTGCAAGCAGTGCAGTGATTGTAGGTTAAAATGGAAGCAGGGCTGGGTGTGGTGACACCTAAAATCCCATCATGGGGTGGGTGAAGCTGAGTCTCGACAAATTCAAGGTTAGCCTGGACTATATAGCAATACTAGGCTAGTTAGGGGCTCTGTTGCCAGACCCTGTCTCACAACAATAAAGGTTCTCCTTGACAGACTATTAGCACTGACAGACTATTATTCTCAGCCTTGACAGACTATTAGCACTGAGCAGACAGCTGCTAGTTCTGTAAGGCCACCCTGGGTACATTTCTGAGAGCCACCTGGTGGGTCTGAGTTGAGTCTTAATCCTAAGGACCTGAGAACTAGAGGAGGATCCTGTTGACCTTTGTATTCTCCACACCGAGAGTTCACTAAGTAGAGCAAGCCTGTTAGATAAACATGAGAGGCTTTCCAAAGCTTTAAAGTGAATGCTTTAGTGTTAACTTTCTTTTCTGAGACAGGGTCTCAGTGAACTCCCAGAGATCTGCCTGCCTCTGTCTCCCTAGTGCTGGTGTGGGCCACAGTACCCACTTTAATGTGAAGATTTGTTTTTAGATTTTTGAGACGTGCTTTTTCTGTATTGCTCTGGCTGCTCTAGAACTTGTGTAGACTAGGCTGTTCAGAGATTGTCCTACAGTGCTGGAATAGTGCAACATAGACCAGTGTTAAGAGTTTTAAAAAAGCTTGTATTAAGATACATGGAATGAGCTGCATTTATTTATTACCCTGAACAAGATTTTAGTAGGCAGAATTTAATCAGCCTAACACATTACAGAATCTGTATTTTCAAACTACAGCCACATTAAAAAAAAAGTCTTGAAATTCAGGTTTTACTCCCTAATGTCAAATGTCAAACAGTTGTAGTTTTTTCTTGATTGATTGAGAAGTTTTTTTGTCTTATCTCTTAAGAGATCAAGTGATGTTTTCTGTAAAGTCACTTTTGTAGCTAGTTGAAATTTTATTTCTGACCCTGCATGTTATTAGGATTTCATCTAGGGAAGTTTCTGAGCATTCCTGAGAGGTCTCAGTTAACATACACTCAGTTGACATACACGCCAGACTGCTGAGTCATTGACCAAGCGGGCTTGTCATTTGACGTTTCAAGGGTTAAGATTTGTGTTTTTCTGTTTTGCTTATTCTATAAAAAGCTGGTTACAGTGTGGAAACTCAGGCTAAGGATTTGGGCCATTGTTTGGGGTGTACGTGCAGCTCGGCACTGGCTCCCTGTCTAGCTCAGGGTAGGAGGGGTCACTTGAGTCACATGGGGTATCTCAGCTGCCCTATGAAATGTGAGTCCCAGCTTGGAGTCTGAGCTGAGGCAGCTCCTCTGTTTGCCGCTTCATGTTTACTTCTGAGGCTCCGAGCCCTGGAAGCGTTGTTGGTGGGTGGGACAGCAAATACTCCCCATAGCAACCTTTGGGACCAGTTTTCCTGAAGGCATTACATACAAAACTGATTGGTTCTGTTCCCTTTATACCTCTGATCCATCTTATTGAAAGGTGTTTAGGGGCAGGGCTGTCTTTCTCTGTATGACTTCTGGCATGCTGGAGGGGAGATAAGTGTTGTGATACTTCTGTGCCTTAGTTGCTGCCCTTACCTGAAAGATCCACTGTATAGATTCAGTAAAGCCTTCATTCAGCTAGCTGCCCTGTCTGCAACTGGTTCTGATGAGTGGTTCCTTTGGTTATAGGCAAACTATCAAGGACAGGCTTGCATGAAGAGAAAACATTGATACACTGAAGGGGTTTCCCCTTGGCTCTAGCTGAACCTCAGCAAATAGTCACAGATCCAGAGGTTAAGTGGAAATAAGGATGACTACTTCAGTTAAGGACATGCCATAGACTGCTCAGTACCAATACCTGGAACCACCTGACTCAGGCACAGCCTAGCAATAGACAGACAAGTTCACTAGTCTTAGAATCCAGTAGGTATGAAGATGATACAAGCCTGTAAGCCCAGTGTTTGGGAGATGGAGGCAGGAAGATCAGGAGTTTAACACCAGCCTGGCTACATGAGACAATGTCAATAAAATGCACGTGTGTGTGACTGAAAAAGAATCCAGTAGTTTGGGTTATGTACCAGGCAGATTATGTTCAGAACCATTTGCCAACCAAGTTTCTTGTTCTCCTCCTCAGTTAACCCAAGGGGCCTTAGGTGTTGAGACAGCAAAGGCCACTTCTGGAGAAGCTCTGTGTGGTTTGGGGCAGTGCTTTCCCCAGACTTGGTGCCCACTTGTTTGGCTTTCTTGGAATGCTATAGCAAATGCATCATTCTCCTGTGGCATTATGTTCCTGTTCGGAGGTTGTGTGGGTGCCTGCTCCTTTCTGAGGATTACTAGCTCTCGCTGGATGCTGTTCCTACTTGAGCTTGTCAGCATATTTGCTTGAACCTCTAACTCTTTTCAAGTTGGGCTCAGCTTCTGGAAAACTATGAAGAAAACAATGAAGGTGATTCTCCTTCCACAGCCATGATTGAGTCCTGGGGCCGTACAAGGACATGGACTTGAGACTAGGGACCCTGTGTTTCCTCCGTCTGGGGTTCTTTTGGGTGTAGTTACTGTTAGGCATTGATAGTCTACAAGTTTGCCTTGGGGTATAGAGGGTAATACAGAGATGGAACTCACTCCCTAGGTTGTCATTATATAAGCAGTTTGGAAAGCAGGCTGGTAGAGCAATCCTCTAATCTCTACTCCAGAGTCTGACTGAGGTAAAGATAACTTTTTTAATTAAAAAAATTTTTTTGAGGTGGTCTTATATATCCTAGGCTAGCCTTGAACCTCGTAAGTAGCCAAGGATGACTTTAAACTTTTATTCTTTCCTCAACATCTAGAGCACTAGAATTACAGGGATGTGCCAGCACACCATTTATGTGGTTCCATAAACCTCAGCCATAAATAATCACGTATTCAAACACCCTAATCAACTGAACTATACTCTCAGCCCCAAGGAGGATCCAAACTTAGATGGCTATCCTAGTTTCACTTCTGACCAAAACCAGTTTATGAGAGGAAGGGCTAATTTGGCTTACACTTCATCTTTGAGAGGAAGTTGAGGGACCAATTCAGTGAAGCTAGGTGCATCACAGTCAAGAGCGGAGAGAACTGAGTGTACTCATGTTACCTGCTCACTAGTTTTCTGTTTAACATTATCTGACTTTTAAACTATTCAGAACCCCGTGACTAGGGAATGGTACTGTCTACAAGGGGCTGGAGCTTCCTATATATCCATTAACAGTCAAGATAGTGCTCCTATGGATAAGCCCATAGGCCAACCTCATCTAAATAATTTCTAAGTAAGACTCACTTCCTGTGGACTTGGCCAGATAGCTAAGCAGACAAAGGTTCTTGCTGCCAAACCTGTTGATCTGAGCTTGGTCCCTAGAAACCCATATGGTAGGAGAGAACCAGTTTTTGCAAGTTCAAGTCACAAATACTTCAAAAAGCCCTCTCTTGTCAGTTGTTTCAAGTTGTGTTGTGGACAAAATCAACTATCACAGTGGCCAACCTGGCTTATGGCATGAGATTCTGTCTCTAAAACCAAACGAAGGATTAGAGAGATGGCTCAGCAGTTAAGAAGACTTTCACAACTGTCTGTAACTTCAGTTCTAGGGGATCTGATACACTCACTCTTCTGTCTTCCATGGGTACCACTCACATACACGGTACCCAAACATACATGCAGGCAAAACACTAATACACATAAAATAAGAGTGGATTCTGCTTTAGGGAACCCGAGTTCAGTTCCCAGCTACTCTACACTCAGGGAGATATAAATAGAACTTGATTTGTATCTTGTTGGTGTAACTCAGAAGTGGGAGAGTTGGGGTGGGGGGATGTGCAGGTATGAGGGCTTCCGGGACAAGCAGAACTGCTTGTGGTCTTGAGGCCTAAATGTATTAAATTACATGAAATAAGTCGTATGTTTCCTGAGGAAATTCTTTGATGTTAAGAAGTTTTTGTGGTGCCTGGCGGTGGTGGCGCACGCCTTTAATCCCAGCACTTGGGAGGCAGAGGCAGGTGGATTTCTGAGTTTGAGGCCAGCCTGGTCTAC